AGTTCAGGAAAGGTGAAAGTTAAGGGTTGTGAAGTTCAAGAAAGGTGAAAGTTAAGAGTTGTGAAGTTCAGGAAAGGTGAAAGATAAGGGACGTGAAGTTCAGGAAAGGTGAAAGTTAAGGGTTGTGAAGTTCAAGAAAGGTGAAAGTTAAGAGTTGTGAAATTCAGGAAAGGTGAGGGTTAGTTGTTTAGTTGGGCTGTTCAGTTAGGTACAGGTGAATGTCAAAGGTTGAGATGGGCTGTGAAATTAATTAAAGGTGCATGTTAAGGGTTTAGACCACTAGACATAGCTTTAAGCTTAGACTTACGTGTGACTCCTGAAGGGTTGTATCCGCATAGCCTTTCTCCAGCCAGGTCAATGTAGTCCTTGCTACACTCTTCACTCTCTTCCAGGTCCAGTACGTTAAAGAGGAACGTTACGGAGCACCACGCGGAGGAGTTCCGGCGGACAGTGTACTGACAGTCTAGGTTGGGACCGTAATTGTTTGGAAATGAACTACTCTTAATGACAGTGAGTTGACTGTGTGTGGTCAGTTGGCAGGCAGATATCAAAGTGTCGTCCTGGTATAAAGAAGTGGTCAGTTTGTTAGCAAGTTGGCTCTCTAAAGTTGGCATTGTTGTTGCGTTGTCCGTCATCCCTTCGAAAGGAAGGGTACTATTTACAGCGGGATCGGTCCCTCCGAGAAGCGGCATGAGTACCACGTTAGAGCCGTTACTTCTGTCAATGTCCGTAGTAGGTCCATCAGTGGCGTTTATAACGTAGGGATATCCTTCGGACCAGGTTAAGGAAAGAAACGCAAGCCACAAAACGTGTCTAAACATAGTTGCTGATGGTTACAATATCAGGAAGAACTGTTTCGTATTATTAAACGGTCGTTGCGCTGGACGATCGGCTTCTCTAACCAGCTGCACGAGCTATCTGACACGATGCTCATCCCGCGCGTGTTCTGATGTAGCAAATGCCGTCAGCAGTTATCGATTGACGAACTTGGCTCAAGGAAGTGCAAGCCAAGCCGACTACAGGAATTTTCCGCACCAAGTATATATTCAACTGAAAACTAAGTCCGTAACTGATAAAGCAATACCGTATTCAGGATTCGTGTACTTCGTTGGCTCTATTTTTTCCAATCCCGTAATACCTCCAGGCCAGTGAGTTAAAGGCTACTAAGAGAGAGAGAGAGAAGAAAAAAAAGAAGAAGCTAAAAACGCGTTTGTCACGTTTATGTGACGCTGTTCAAACACACCCAAACAAAGGTAACTGATGAAATACGTCATAGTATGTGAACTTAAACAAATACATGTTCAATACAGAGTTCTCTTAGTGAGAACAAAGTGTTTTCATTCAATATAAACTCAGTATTTAGTTTGAGGAAAAGTAAATGATATATTTGATAATAAAACATTTTGTGTACTAAGTAACAGGAAATGTACTTTCTTTGTCGTACCTAAACAAATGAAGAAATTATGAACACAAGTTTGATTTGGGTATGGCGTTTGTCGAACAGTGTGTGTGTTCCGGTGGAGTTTTGATTTGGGTATGGCGATTTGTCGAACAGAGTGTGTGTGTTCCGGTGGAGTTTTGATTTGGGTATAGCGATTTGTTGAACAGAGTGTGTGTTCCGGTGGAGTTTTGATTTGGGTATAGCGATTTGTCGAACAGAGTGTGTGTGTTCCGGTGGAGTTTTGATTTGGGTATGGCGTTTGTCGAACAGTGT